ACAGAGACTCATACAGAGACACAGATACTCATACAGAGACACAGAGACTCATACAGAGACACAAGGACTCATATAGAGACACACAGACTCACATAGAGACACATAGACTCATACAGAGACACAGAGACTCATACAGAGACACACAGACTCACATAGAGACACAGAGACTCATACAGAGACACAGAGACTCATACAGAGACTCATAGAGACACAGAGACTCATACAGAGAAACAGAGACTCATACAGAGACACAGAGACTCATAGAGACACAGAGACTCATACAGAGACAAAGGGACTCATATAGAGACACAGAGACACATACAGAGACACAGAGACTCATACAGAGACACAGAGACTCATACATAGACACAGAGACTCATACAGAGACACAGATACTCATACAGAGACACAGAGACTCATACAGAAACACAGATACTCATACAGAGACACAGAGACTCATATAGAGACATAGAGACTCAGAGAGACACAGATACTCATACAGAGACACAGAGACTCTTACAGAGACACAGAGACTCATACAGAGAAACAGAGACTCATACAGAGAAACAGAGACTCATACAGAGACACAGAGACTCATATAGAGACATAGAGACTCATAGAGACACAGAGACTCATACAGAGACATAGGGACTCATACAGAGACACAGAGACTCATACAGAGACACTGAGACTCAAAAAACTAGAGACCCATGGAGATACGAGAAAGATCAAGCCACAGCAGTGCGATTGTGGGCATCGAAGCCACACTACGGACCCACAGTAAACGCACTGTGGTCTGAGTTCTTTCAGCAGAGGGGGAGGAGGAACAGCGACACGACACGAACTCTCTCTCTCTGCTGAAGCCCTCTCGTCGTGGCAGCAGCAGCAGACCTCAACATTGGCACTTCGCTCCTGAACTACAGCGCTGCCACACGGCAAGAATAACATAGTCTACGGGTCCAGTGTTAGTCTATGGGTCCAGTGTTAGTCTATGGGTCCAGTGTTAGTCTGTGGGTCCAGTGTTAGTCTATGGGTCCAGTGTTAGTATATGGGTCCGGTGTGAGTCTATGGGTCCAGTGTGAGTCTATGGGTCCAGTGTGAGTCTATGGGTCCAGTGTTAGTCTATGGGTCCAGTGTGAGTCTATGGGTTCAGTGTGAGTCTATGGGTCCAGTGTTAGTCTATGGGTCCAGGGTTAGTCTATGGGTCCAGTGTGAGTCTATTGGTCCAGTGTTAGTCTATGGGTCCAGTGTTAGTCTATGGGTCCAGTTTAAGTCTATGGGTCCAGTGTGAGTCTATGGGTCCAGTGTTAGTGTATGGGTCCAGTGTTAGTCTATGGGTCCAGTGTTAGTCTATGGGTCCAGTGTTAGTCTATGGGTCCAGTGTTAGTCTATGAGTCCGGTGTTAGTCTGTGGGTCCAGTGTTAGTCTATTAGTCCAGTGTTAGTCTATGGGTCCAGTGTTAGTCTATGGGTCCAGTGTTAGTCTATGGGTCCAGTTTAAGTCTATGGGTCCAGTGTGAGTCTATGGGTCCAGTGTTAGTGTATGGGTCCAGTGTTAGTCTATGGGTCCAGTGTTAGTCTATGGGTCCAGTGTTAGTCTATGGGTCCAGTGTTAGTCTATGGGTCCGGTGTTAGTCTGTGGGTCCAGTGTTAGTCTATTAGTCCAGTGTTAGTCTATGGGTCCAGTGTTAGTCTATGGGTCCGGTGTTAGTCTGTGGGTCCAGTGTTAGTCTATTAGTCCAGTGTTAGTCTATGGTAAACCCACTGTGGTCTGCACTCCTTCAACGGAGGAGGAGGAACAGTGACACGACACGAACTCTCTCTCTCTGATGAAGCCCTCTCGTCGTGCCAGCAGCAGCAGCAGGAGCAGCAGCAGCATGAGCAGCAGCAGCAGACCTCGACATTGTCACTCCGCTCCTGAACCTCTCTCGCTGCGATCATGCGCAACGAATGTCTGATTGTCAAACCACTGCTGGGGGAAAAAAGGGCCACTCCTATCCGTGTCGGTCCTGGGGGTTGTTTGACCATACTTCACCACGCTGGTTGGGTGAAATGTGTGGGTGGCAACCGAAAACGCGTTCAGGCGTCACTCAGCCAATTGATGTTGAAGCCTTTGGCCGGGAATCAAAGTCACGTGGCCGGATTCGTAGCGCAAGTGCCCTTACCATTGAGCCACCGCTCTCCACCCACACACAAAGACAACACAATCGCCCGCATTGCCTCTTCTCGTTGTTAGTCAGGATAACACTGGTCAACAAAACTGAAACCTTTTTTTACGAGTAATCATGTTTACATCAACCACAATACCTGCAGTCAGAATGCAAACAAAAACACAAACTTTGATAACACTGGTCAACAAAAAAGAAACATGTTTTTCTGGCCTGGACTTTTGCAGCTTTTAATTTCAGGATGCTGATTCCAAATCTGATCTCAGGTTTGCTCTATCACATCAAATTTTTATGCTATCGGCATACCCCATTTTCATTGATTTTACCCGAAATTAACTCTGTCACTTATGATTGCAAGTTGTTGCGGTCAGTGACTGCTTTAGTGTTAAAATATGGTGCTGTACTTTTTACGATAGTGTGTTTATAATATCATTTTGTGTAGATATCCACATTTATTTAATATTTTTCTTCTGCAGTTTTTATTGAAAAATTAATATTTTATATCTCAAAAACCTGATGTGATAGACACAAACTGATGCCAGATTTGGAATCAGTACCCCCAAATTACCTTAAAACCGTTGGAATACCTTATGCCAGAAAAAAGTGTGTTGACCAGTGTAATTAATACTCATCACTTCGGTTATTTTCTCGCGTCATTCGTGCAATTGCCATCCCACAACGCACCAATTCGCTGGTCCCTTACGCAGACGATACAAAAACCAACCCCCACTCCCAACTTAGCAAATCATAAACAAACAAACAAACAAAAAAATGAATACATAAATAACGAGCGAGAACAAAATATATATATGCGTACCGACAAATAAAAAATTTACGAAAAAATACAGACGACGAGAAAATGATCGTCAAAGGGACAATCCATTGAGATGAACAAATCGGTCCGGTGTTGTTCGCGAGCACAAACCAAGGCCGGTACACCACGCCCGGCCATATTTGTCTCCCCAATACCGATGCTTACACACCGTACTAGGTACTCATTTGAGTCTGAGTCGACCTAGGGGAGGCCCCGGGAACCCGTCTCAATATCCGTCATTCACTGACGCGGGTGGACGGGTTCATAGCGCAGTGTGCTAACCACTGCGCCACCGCTCCCAACTACCACACAAAGAGAAAGATCCCCCGTATAGCCTTAACAGACTGCTGGGGCAAGTGCTGTTAGCGAGCACCTATGAACAGGGAAGCCATCCCGACGCGCGCACACACACACAATTATCCACTACACACATAAAGACAAAGATCCCCCGTATAGCCTTTATCGACCGATGGGGCAAGTGCTGTTAGCAAGTACCTATGAAGATCGGAACGGCACACGAGCGGGTGGATGGCCAGCACACACAGACACATAGACAAAGATCCCCCGTATAGCCTTAACAGACTTTAGGAGGCAAGTGTTGTTAGCGAGCACCTATGAAGGCCAGAAACGGCACACGAGGGGGTGGGTGGCCAGCACCACGCCCGGCCGCCTTTGTCTCCCCAGTGGCAATGTTTTTAGGCACCGTACCAGGTACTCATTTGAGGCTGAATCGACCTAGGGGAGGTCCAGAACCGGTTCAGATAATCATCACTGGTGTTGGCCGTGAGCGGGAATCGAACCTGGGTCGCCAGGTTCGTAGCACAGCGTAGCGCTAACCGCTGCACCACCGCTCCCCACACTCACAGAGACACGCAAAAGATCCCCCGTATAGCCTTAACAGACTGTAGGGGCAAGTGCTGTTAGCGAGCACCTATAAAGGCCGGCACGGCACACGAGGGGGTGGGTGGCCAACACCACGCCCGGCCGCCTTTGTCTCCCTAGCCGCGATGTTTTCACATCGCACCAGGTACTCATTTGAGGCTGAATCGACCTAGGGGAGGCCCCGAACCGGTTTAGATAATCGTCACTGGGTGTTGGCCGTGAGCAGGAATCGAACCTGGGTCGCCGGGTTCGTCGTGCAGCGTAGCGCTAACCGCTGCACCACCGCTCCCCACACTCACAGATACACACACACACAGTGACACACACACAGACTCATTCACACAGACTCGCACACACAGTGACACACACACAGACTCATTCACACAGACTCACACACACACAGACTCGCACACAGACTCACAAAGATCAAAGACAAAGATCCCCCGTATAGCCTGAACAGACTGTAGGGGCAAGTGCTGTTAGCGAGCACCTATGAAGGCCGGAACGGTACACGAGGGGGTGGGTGGCCAGCGCCACGCCCGACCGCCTTTGTCTCCCTAGTGGCGATGTTTACACACCGCACCAGGTACTCATTTAAGGCTGAGTCAACCTAGGGGAGGCCCAGGACCGTTTCAGATAATCGTCACTGGTGTTTGCCGTGAGCGGGAATCGAACCCGGGTCGCCAGGTTCATAGCGCAGCGCGCTAACCACTACACTACCGCTCCCCACGACACAGACTCACACACACAGTGACACACACACAGACTCATTCACACAGACTCACACACACAGACTCGCACATAGACTCACGCACACAGTGACACACACACAGACTCACACACACAGTGACACACACACAGACTCACACACACAGTGACACACAGACAGACTCACACACACAGTGACACACACACAGTGACACACATACAGACTCACACACACACCGTAACACACACACGGACTCACACACACAGTGACACACACATCGACACTTATCCTCCCACACACAGACGCACGCAGGCACCCACACCTCCACCCACACCCCCCCACTGCCACTCAGCCCCCTCCTCCCTCTCCTTCTGGAAATCCTATAAATGTGGTCCGAGCTCAGAGCACGCGGAGAGAGAAGAGGAGGAAGAGGAGGAGGAGGACGAGGAGAAGGAGGAGACCAGATAGCATCGGCAGCATCAGTTAGAGCCAGGGAGAGGGGTACGTGGTGGTGGTGGTAGAGGAGGCAGTGGCGGAGTGGTTGAGGCGGTGGAGTAGACAGCTGAGAGTCGTGGTATCGCCTCTTATTGCAGGTGCGTATCAACAGGTGCCTCTCCATACACACGCAGATACACGCCGATACACAGATACACACAGATGCACAGAGATACACACAGATACACACAGATACACACACACAGATACACAGATACACACACAGATACACACACAGATACAGAGACACACACAGATACACAGATACACACACAGATACACACACAGATACACACAGGTACGCACAGATACACACACAGATACACACAAATACACACAGATACACACAGATACACACATATACACACACAGATACTCACAGGTACACACAGATACAAAGAGAATCACACACATTCACAGAGTTACTAAGATAGATACACCCACATAGACAAAGATCCCCCGTATAGCCTGTAACAACCTGTTGGGGCAAGTGCTGTTAGCGAGCACCTATGAAGGCCGGCACGGCACACGAGGGGGTGGGTGGCCAACACCACGATCGGCCGCCTTTGTCTCCCCTAGTGTAGATGTTTACACACAGCACCAAGTACTCATTTGAGGCTGAGTCGACCTAGGGGAGGCCCAGGAACGGTTCTGATAATCGTCGCTGGTGTTGGCCGTGAGCGGGAATCAAACCCGGATCGCCGGTACTCTACGACTCCCCACAGAGTACCTGGTGCGGTGTGTAAACATCGCCGCTGGGGAGATAAAGACGGCCGGGCGTGGTGCTGGCCACCCACCCCCTCGCTAACAGCACTTTGCCACAACAGTTTGTTAAGGCTATAGGGGGGATCTTTGTCTTGTGTGTCTGTGTGCGCGTGAGGAGCGGTGGCACAGTGGTTAGCGCGATATCGGCTCACTCCTCACCCGACTCACCACCACCCACACCTCACCACCACCCACCCCTCACCACCACCCACACCTCACACCACCACCCACCCCTCACCACCCACACCTCACCACCACTCACACCTCACCACCACCCACCACTCACCACCACCACTCACACCTCACCACCACCCACCACTCACCACCACCCACATCTCACCACCACTCACCACCCACACCTCACCACTATCCACCCCTCACCACCACCCACATCTCACCACCACTCACCACCTCACCACCACTCACACCTCACCACCACTCACCCCTCACCACCACCCACCCCTCACCACCACCCACACCTCACCACCACCCACACCTCACCACCACCACTCACACCTCACCACCACTCACACCTCACCACCACCCACACCTCACCACCACTCACCACCCACACCTCACCACCACTCACACCTCACCACCACCCACACCTCACCACCACTCACCACCCACACCTCACCACCACTCACACCTCACCACCACTCACACCTCACCACCACTCACACCTCACCACCACCCACACCTCACCACCACTCACACCTCACCACCACTCACACCTCACCACCACCTCACACCTCACCACCACTCACACCTCACCACCACTCACACCTCACCACCACCACCTCACCACCACCACACCTCACCACCACCCCACACCTCACCACCACTCACCACCCACACCTCACCACCACTCACACCTCACCACCACTCACACCTCACCACCACTCACACCTCACCACCACCCACACCTCACCACCACTCACACCTCACCACCACTCACACCTCACCACAACTCACCACCCACTCCTCACCACCACTCACACTCACCACCACTCACACCTCACCACCCTCACCACCACAACCCACACCTCACCACCACCCACCCCTCACCACCACCTACATCTCACCACCACCCAACCTCACCACCACTCACACCTCACCACCACTCACACCGGGGGTTGCCACCTGTACGGGTTGAACCGGGTCGTTTGTGAGTTGGCATCCGTGTGGTCTTCAAGGGCGGCATGAGTTGATTTGTACCGCGATCTGGCATCGGTTTTGCGTTTAACTTAATTCCAGTATTATACATGCATTTAAGTATTTATTTTACATTCCCCGTCTGTTATCCAGGAATCCTCATCGAATTTAATCACTTTCTTTGTTTTTTCAAGCGGGTCCCGCCAAACTTTCGCAGTTAGGCGGCTGTAGTAAAGGTGGCAACTCTACCAAATCTTCTTGGTTATTTCGGTAAAGTCACGTAGAATGGAAATAATAAAAGGAGCGGTGGCACAGTGGTTACCGCGATATCGGCTCACTCCTCACCGGACTCACCACCACCCACACCTCACCACCATCCACACCTCACCACCACCCACCACTCACCACCACCCACACCTCACACCTCACCACCACTCACACCTCACCACCATCCACCAGTCACCACCATCCACACCTCACCACTCATCACCACCCACACCTCACCACCACCCACACCTCACCACTCACCACCACCCACACCTCACCACCACCAACACCTCACACCTCACCACCACTCACACCTCGTGAGAATTATGGAAATTTAATTCGACCAAAGGTAAATATTCCACCGTGTAGCCTTCGGCCAGACTGTTGGGGCAATTGCTGTTCGCGAGTTGCACCGATTGAGGCCAGAACGCTCCACCGGAGTGTGTGGATGGGCAGCATCACGCCCGGCCGCCTTTGTCTCTCCACCGAGTACTTTATTCGAGGCTCAGTAGAGCCAACGGAGGGCCCAGTGACGAGATATACACTTCGATTTAAAGCTTTCGTGACTGCAGGGATTCATGTTCTTGGTTCTTTCGGTAAAGTCACGTAGAAGGGAAATAATAAAATAATAAAAATAAAATTATTCTCACGACGTGTCGGCTGCTTGCGTTGTGGCCGAAACGTCGTGAGAATTTTTTTATTATGTTTTATTATTATTATTTTATTATTTCCCTTCTACGTGACTTTACCGAAAGAACCAAGAAGATGAATCCCTGCAGTCACGAAAGCTTTAAATCATTATTTTATTATGTTTTATTTTTATTATTTTATTATTTCCCTTCTACGTGACTTTACCGAAAGAATCCAAGAAGAGATATAAACTATTCGTAATCGATGTCGGGAATCGAACACGGGTCGCCGAGTTCGTAGCGCCAGTTGCTTTAGGTCAGCTATTTGTTTTTATTTTACGAGGTAAGCCCCCACTGAGCGATGTTGTTCTTCATCAGATCACAAATGATAGCTCAGCGGAGCGGTTCATCATCACGTGGGGATTTATAGCAGCCAAATACTCGAGATCCGGAGGACCCGGAGAAAAATCCACGCGACCATCACAGGGAGACAGAGACACGCAAACTCCAAATATACAGCAGCAGGTGTCAAGGTCGAGATCGAACCCACGACCTCCTGTTTACCAGGCGAGGTAGTTAACATCTCCTAGCCACCGTAGTGATGATAAGAAAGAGAGACACGCAAACTCCAAATATACAGCAGCAGGCGTCAAGGTCGAGATCGAACCCACGACCTCCTGTATACCAGGCGAGGTAGTTAACATCTCCTCGCCACCGCGGTGATGATAAGAAAGAGAGACACGCAAACTCTAAATATACAGCAGGTGTCAGGGTCGGTATCGAACCCGCGACCTCCTTGTATACCAGACGAGGTAGTTAACATCTCCTAGCCACCGTGATGATGATGAGAGAGAAACACGCAAACTCCAAATATACAGCAGCAGGCGTCAAGGTCGAGATCGAACCCACGACCTCATGTTGTATACCAGGCGAGGTAGTTAACATCTCCTAGCCACCGTGATGATGATGAGAGAGACACGCAAACTCCAAATATACAGCAGGCGTCAGGGTCGGGATAGAACCCACGACCTCCTTGTATACCAGGCGAGGTAGTTAACATCTCCTAGCCACCGTGATGAGAGAGAGAGACACGCAAACTCCAAATATACAGCAGCAGAAGTCAGGGTCGGGATCGAACCCACGACCTCCTGCACACCAGGCGAGGTAGTCAACATCTTCTAGCCACTGCCCTCACAATCACTCACTCACTCATCCCTGACTTACCCGTGTCTCTGTCTCTCTCCCCGTGTCTCTGTCTCTCTCTCTCTCCGTGTCTCTGTCTCTCCCCTCCACGCCCGTCAGCTCGCCATGACCGCGTGCGCGCTGTGGCTGCTGCTGCTGCTGCTGATCGCCGCTCCCACGTGGGGGTTTCAGCAGCTGCGTGGACCCGCTGATCGTTCCCAGCCGGGCCCCGCGGGGCGCTACGACGGCCCCTCGGAGCTTGACCTCGTACTGCGCTTCCCTGCTTCGAGCCGCTAGCAGCGGTGCTCCCAGCGGAGCCCTCCTCGGTACGCGTTGGCGTCGAAGTGAGAGGGGGGTTCATCTCTCGGCCCCTTCAGCATCAGCGCTTGCTGCTTCACCGCTCATCTTTATGCTATGAACATTATGGCGGTTTTTGAAACGCTGAAACTAGCCACGACTTGCTATAAATTCTTGGTTGTAGGTAGTGTCATCGTGGCGTTTCTTCAGGTCATCAAAAAGCGTACGCGCCTTTTCTTGGATCGTCAGGAGGTTGAGCGGCATACGCTTTTGTATCTGATCCTCCATCCACGTTACCAGTAACTGCTCAATTTCTTTCAAAGGTCATATCCTCTTCCTGGATATTATTGAAGAATGAACTGAAGAAGATGAATTTCGATTAAAAGCTTTCGTGAATGCAGGGATTCATCTTCTTGGTTATTTCGGGAAAGTCACGTAGAAGGGATAATAAAATAATAAGACTGGTCAACAAAAAAAAAATATTTTCTGGCCTGGACTTTTGCAGCTGTTCTAGACTAATTTCAGGGTGCTGATTGCAAATCTGGACTCAGATTTGCTCTATTACATCTCATTTTATGCTATCGGCATACCCCATTTTAATTGATTTTACCCGAAATTAACTCTGTCACTTATGATTGCAAGTTGTTACGAGTCAGTGACTGCTTTAGTGTTAAAATATGGTGCTGTATTTTTAGGATAGTGTGTTTATAATATCATTTTATGTAGATATCCACATTTATTTAATATTTTTCTTCTGCAATTTTTATTGAAAATGCAATTTTTGATATCTCAAAAACCTGATGTGATAGACAGATTTGGAATCAGCACCCCAAAATCACCTTAAAACCGTTGGAATACCTTATGCCAGAAAACGTGTGTTGACCAGTGTAATAAAAATAAAACATAATAAAATACAATTCTCACGACGTTTCGGCCACAACGCAAGCAGCCGTCCTCAGGTGAAGAACAGGTCTGTCGGAAAGACAGCGTCTGAACCTGTTCTTCACCCGAGGACGGCTGCTTGCGTTGTGGCCGAAACGTCGTGAGAATTGTATTTTATTATGTTTTATTTTTATTATTTTATTATTTCCCTTCTCCGTGACTTTACCGAAAGAACCAAGAAGATGAATCCCTGCAGTCACGAAAGCTTCAAATCGAAATGAGAGGGGGAGTTGAATCTTGGCTGAGCCACGGAGCCGGCCACCCGGGTTCGATCCCCCCTCTGCCCACCCCCCGCCGCTCTCACGGCCGACATCGGTAACGATTCTCTGAACCGGGTCCCTGGGGAGTGATGAGCAGGTGATGAGCGGGTGGGTGGGTGGGTGGGGGAGCGGTGGTGCAGCGGTTAGCGCTACGCTGCGCTATGAACCCGGCGACCCAAGTTCTATTCCCGCTCACGGCCAACACCGGGGAAAATTATCTGAACCCGGTCCCTGGGGCTCACCTAGGTCGACTCAGCCTCAAATGAGTAGCCGGTGCGGTGGGTGAACATCGTCATTGGGGAGACAAAGGCGGCCGGGCGTGGTGTTGGTCACCCACCCCCTGCGGTTGCCGTTCCAGCCTTTATAGGTGCCACTCGCTAACAGCACTTGCCCCAACAGTCTGTTACAGGCTATACGAGGGATCTTTGTATTTTTTTGTTATAACCAGTGAACACGTGGCAATGCATTTCTTTTGAATGAGAGAGAGAGATCCGATTGGCTGATGACACCGTTACCGTATTCTCTGAATTATACGACGCTCTGGAAAGTAAGACGCACCCAACACTTTTTGCGGTAATTTTTGTAAAAAAAAAAACAACGCAGCGCGTCTTATACTCGGGAGAGAGAATACGGTATTCGCTTCCGACAGTTGTTTTCACAATAAATAATGTATCCACGTATCGGTCTCTCCGCGTAAAAAAAAGATAAATATCCCTTACATGCTCTGTGGTTCTTTCGGTAAAGTCACGTAGGTAGAAAAAAAAATAGATCACGACGTTTCGATCGCGACCGCTTTGCTGTTGCGTTTGAAACGTCGTGAGCTATTAATTTATCTTATACCTACGTAACTTTACCGAAAGATACCATTTGGTTTTTTTCGGTAAAGTTACGTAGGTTAACAAAAGAAAAACAAATAAATTAAATCACGACGTTTCGGAGGCAACACAAGCCTCCGTCTTCAGGTGGAACCGTCACAGCAAAATTACTTGATGCAAAATTACTTTTTGATTTAAAGCTTTCGTGACTGCAGGGATTCATATTCTTGGTTCTTTCGGTAAAGTCACGTAGAAGGCAAATAATAAAATAATATTAATCAATACAATTCTTACGACGTTGCGACTGCAACACAAGCAATCATCATCAGGTGTAAAATCCACAGAAAAAAAAAAACGTCGTGAGAATTTTATTGATTTGTATTATTTTATTATTTCCCTTCTACGTGACTTTACCGAAAGAACCAAGAATACAAAATTACTTGATACAGTCATTTTGCTGTGACGGTTCCACCTAAAGACGGAGGCTTGTGTTGCCTCCGAAACGTCGTGATTTTATTTAGTTGTTTTTTATTGATTTTTGTTGCCTAACTACGTGACTTTACCGAAAGAACCAAAGAGTATGGATTCCTGCAGTCACGAAAGCTTCAAATCAAGATTAATATACCGAACACCTTCCGGCCTTCCTTCTGGGAGTGGTTAATGTCAGCAGCATTCATTCAAGACAAGAAAAACAAACTCTGGACCGTTGTCCACATCCAGTCAATTTCTCGGCAGCAGCAGAGTCCGGGCTTCCCCTGAATCAACGCTGGTGGACTGCCAGATGTTTATATTGGCAAGGACTTGCTTCGACACCCAGTGTCTCATCAGCAGTCCTGCTCCAGCCAATGCTGGTGAACTACCAATCGTACCAACAAGTGCCCCTCTGTTTAATATACGGGTCCAGACGATGATTATGAAGGTGTCGGAAGCTCAGTTTATAGACGGGCTTGCCCAGCTTGCCTCTAGATAATAACACCAAGGCTCAGTTGATAGACGGGCTTGCCCAGCTTGCCTCTAGATAATAACACCGAGGCTCAGTTTATAGATGGGCTTGCCCAGCTTGCTTCGAGATAATAACACCGAGGCTCAGTTTATAGACTGGCTTGCCAGCTTGCTTCGAGATAACACCGAGGCTCAGTTTATAGACGGGCTTGCCCAGCGTGCTTCGAGATAATAACACCGAGACTCAGTTTATAGACGGGCTTGCCAGCTTGCTTCGAGATAATAACAACGAGGCTCAGTTTATAGACGGGCTTGCCCAGCTTGCTTCGAGATAATAACACCGAGGCTCAGTTTATAGACGGGCTTGCCCAGCTTGCTTCGAGATAATAACACGGAGGCTCAGTTTATAGACGGGCTTGCCCAGCTTGCTTCGAGATAATAACAACGAGGCTCAGTTTATAGACGGGCTTGCCCAGCTTGCTTCGAGATAAAAACACCGAGGCTCAGTTTATATACGGGCTTGCCCAGCTTGCTTCGAGATAATAACACCGAGGCTCAGTTTATAGACAGGCTTGCCCAGCTTGCTTCGAGATAATAACACCGAGGCTCAGTTTATAGACGGGCTTGCCCAGCTTGCTTCGAGATAATAACACCGAGGCTCAGTTTATAGACGGGCTTGCCCAGCTTGCTTCGAGATAAAAACACCGAGGCTCAGTTTATAGACGGGCTTGCCCAGCTTGCTTCGAGATAATAACACCGAGGCTCAGTTTATAGACAGGCTTGCCCAGCTTGCTTCGAGATAATAACACCGAGGCTCAGTGTATAGACGGGCTTGTCCAGCTTGCTTCGAGATAAAAACACTGAGGCTCAGTTTATAGACAGGCTTGCCAGCTTGCTTCGAGATAATAACACCGAGGCTCAGTTTATAACGGGCTTGCCCAGCTTGATTCGAGATAATAACATCGAGGCTCAGTTTATAGACGGGCTTACCAGCTTGCTTTTAGATAACACCGAGGCTCAGTTGATAGACGGGCTTGCCCAGCTTGCCTCTAGATAATAATACCGAGGCTCAGTTTATAGACGGGCTTGCCCAGCTTGCTTCGAGATAATAACACCGAGGCTCCGTTTATAGACGGGCTTGCCCAGCTTGCTTCGAGATAATAACACCGAGGCTCCGTTTATAGACGGGCTTGCCCAGCTTGCTTCGAGATAATAACACCGAGGCTCCGTTTATAGACGGGCTTGCCCAGCTTGCTTCGAGATAATAACACCGAGGCTCAGTTTATAGACGGGCTTGACCAGCTTGCTTCGAGATAATAACACAGAGGCTCCGTTTATAGACGGGCTTGCCCAGCTTGCTTCGACTGTCGCTGAGACCTGAAGGTCGATCTCGCGTGTTCAGAACTCACCTGCATTTTGAAAGTAACGCCACCCTGGCATCCATTCTCTGCTGAATGTCCACGGCTGTGTAGAAGGGAGTGGTGGGGGAGTGGTGGGGGAGGTGGGAATATCCCCCTGTTGTCAGCTGGTGGGGGGTGATGACAGGAGTGATGGTATGATGCTGGAGGTGATTGTGGGTGATGGTGGTGGTGGTGTTGATGACGGAGTTAATGTTGGTGATCGTGATGATGATGCCCTCCAGCAACGACGGAGGGCAGAGGAGCGACGCTCACAACAACGAGTGGAGCGCCGGGCGGTTAAAACACAGCAAGTTGGCACAGTAGGGGGCACAGGTGGGGCATCGGCCACTCATCTCAGTCAGTCGACCCGTGGCACCTGCTGGGTCTGCCCCGTGCCAGCGGGCGTTCGACACTTCACGTAGCCTCAACGTGCACGTAGCCTGGCACAAGCGCCGTGGTGATGTCACCACCACTTAGTGGCGAATGGCGGTTGTTGTTGTTGATAATGTAGTGATGGTGGAGGTGATGATGGTGGGGTTGATGATGATGATCGTAATGGAGGGGATGGTGTGAATGATTGTGTAGGTGATGGGGGTGGTGATGATGGTGGTGATAGTTGATGATGGTGGAGTTGATGATGGTGGGGTTGATGATGATCATATTGGAGGATGATGGGGGTGGTGCTGATGGTGCTGATGGTGGTGGTGTTGATGGTGGAGATCAATGTGTGTAGTCCCATCTCTGTTGTTTCCACATTCAACCAACCCGCACTGACCAGCGTGGTGAAGTATGGTCAAATACCCCCCCCCCCCCGTGGTGTGGGGAGGCACTCATCCAGCAGTGGACTGACGAGAGAGCTGTAGGCGTGATATCGCGTGAGTTTGTGTGTGTGTAAGCATGAGCTCTGGCAAGTAACTGGGGGCCGCTATCACAACAACTCTCACAGAGATCATTCTGGGTGACTACGGTGGCTAGGAGATGTTAACTACCTCGCCCGGTATACGGGAGGTCGTGAGTTAGATCCTGACCCTGACGCCTGCTGTGTATTTGGAGTTTGAGCGTCTCTCTCTCATCAACATCACGGCGGATAGGAGATGTTAACTACCTGGCCCGGTATACAGGAGGTCGTGGGTTCGATCCCGACCCTGACGCCTGCTGTATATTTGGAGGTATGGGTGTCTCTCATCATCACGATGGCTAGGAGATGTTAACTACCTCATCTGGTATACAGGAGGTCGTGGGTTCGATCCTGACCCTGACGCCTGCTGCTGTATATTTAGAGTTTGCGTGTCTCTCATCATCACGATGGCTAGGAAATGTTAACTACGTCGTCTGGTATACAGGAGGTCGTGGGTTCGATCCCGACCCTGACGCCTGTTGTCCATTTGGAGTTTGCGTGTCTCTCTCTCTCTCTGTGATGGCCGCGTGGATCTTTCTCCAGGTCGTCCGTGTTTTCCCTCCACGTTTAGAATCAACGTCACGCATTTAGAGTGTTTGGCTGCTATAAATGTCCACGTGATGATGATGATGACCAGCCACTTCGCCGAGCTCTCATGTGTGATAACCAGGTCGCTTCTGATAAAAGGGTCTCAACTTAACTCACCTTAACGGAATTTACGTAGCAATTTAACAACCAAGGCGCTTTTCGATTTAAAGCTTTCGTGACTGCAGGGATTCATCTTCTTGGTTCTTTCGGTAAAGTCACGTAGAAGGGAAATAATAAAATAATAAAAATAAAACATAACAAAATAATTCTCACGACGTTTCGGCCACAACGCAAGCAGCCGTCCTCAGGTGAAGAACAGGTCTGTCGAGAAGAGAGTCATTCAGACTCATTCAGACTCTGTCTTCTCGACAGCTCTGTTCTTCACCTGAGGACGGCTGCTTGCGTTGTGGCCGAAACGTCGTGAGAATTATTGTATTATGTTTTATTTTTATTATTTCCATTTTACGTGACTTTACCGAAAGAACCAAGAAGATGAACCAAGGCGCTCTACGGAAGAATTAAGAAGGGCACAACGAGTCGGGTGTCAATGTTCTAAGGGTGGAGATGAGGCCAATTGAGTGGACCAGAGGAAGCGATGGGGGCGAATCTGCGATGATGCGTGACGTCGGTAGCAGCGAAACTGACGACGGTGAATGATGACGACCCGTTGAGAATCAACCCCTCTAGCTGACCACGCTCTCTCCTCTCTATGATCTCTCTCTCCTCTCTTATCATCTCTGTCACCTCTCTCTCCTCACTAATATCTCACTCCTATCTTTCTCTCTCTCCTCTCTCTATCATCTCTATCATCTCTCTCTTTCTCTCTCACCTCTCTCATCTCTCTCTTCGTCATCTCTCATCTCTCTCCTCTCTATGATCTCTCTCTCCTCTCTTATCATCTCTGTCACCTCTCTCTCCTCACTAATATCTCACTCCTATCTTTCTCTCTCCTCTCTCTATCATCTCTCTCTTTCTCTCTCACCTCTCTCATCTCTCTCTTCGTCATCTCTCATCTCTCATCTCTCTATTATCTCTCACATCTCTCTCTATCATCTCTCTCATCTCTCTTTATCATCTCTCTCATCTCTCTTTATCATCTCTCTCATCTTTCTCATCTCTCCTCTCTATTATCTCTATCATATCTCTCATCTCTCTCATCTCCACCATCTCTCTCCTCTCTCTCCTCTCTCAGCTCCCTCCTCTTCCGAGGCCCGGGACGCGAGACCCTCGCCGACGAAGCGGCAGCACCCGGGCCGGAGGGCCACCGCCGCCGCCACCGCCGACGAGGAGCCGGGGTCCCCCTGGCGGCCGAGTCCCCGCAGCAAGCGGCAGCACCCGGGCCGCAGGGAGGCAGAGCTGTGGGCCCTGACGGGGCCCCGCGCGGGGCCACACGCGGGGCCACGCGTCCACCCGGAGAAGCGGCAGCACCCGGGCCGCAGGGCTCTCGGCTCCCTGCTGGGGCCCGCCTGTGGCCTTCGAGCGACGGCGTCGTCGGTGGCGCGTGGCGGTGGCGGCGTCGATTGCGACGGAGCTGCGCGACTGTGGAGCGAGATTCTCGCCAGCGGCCTCCGTCGCGAGCAGCAGCAGCTGCAGCAGTGGCAGCAGCAGCAGTGGCAGCAGCAACAGCGGCAGCAGCAGCAGCGGCAGCGGCTGCAGCGGCGGGGCTATCGGGGTCGGCGTCTGGGTGGCGGCGATGTTGATGATGGTGGAGATGGCGAGGTTGATGATGGTGTTGACGACGACGATGTTGTCGTCGATGATGATGGTGATGATGATGCTGGTGAGCAGGAGGAGGAGCAGCAGGAGGAGCAGCAGGAGGAGCAGCAGGAGGAGCAGCAGGAGGTGGTGGTGTTGTGAATGTTGGCCGGAGAGCGGAGCTTTCGAGCCTTGGGCCATCGTCGCCGTCTTGATGACAGCCTCCAGCATCATCATCAACACCGTCAATACCATCAGCATCACCAGCATCATCAACACCATCATCATCAACACAATCATCATCATCAGCACCATCAACACCATCATCATCAACACCATCATCATCACCAGCATCACCGTCACCAGCATCACCATCAACACGATCATCATCACCACCATCAGCACCATCAGCGTCAATACCATCATCATCAACACCATCATCATCAACACCATCATCATCAACACCATCATCATCAACACCGTCAATACCATCAGCATCACCAGCATCACCATCAACATCATCAACACAATCATCATCATCACCAGCATCACCATCAACACCATCATCATCAGCACCATCATCAACACCATCATCATCAACACCATCAACACCATCATCATCAACACCATCATCAACACTATCATCATCAACACCATCACCATCAACACCATCATCAACACCATCAGCGTCATCGCTGTTTGTTATTTTGAAAGTGGCATGCGATGTCCGTTTGCGATCACGATGTTCAACACCGCGTGGCACATTCCGTAGAGGCCGAAGGTTACTGCCCCCAGCAGATCGAGCAAAGAAACCTGCCCTCAGACACCTCCAGTCCCTAACCCTGGGTCCCGATACGAATCCCTGCACTACAAACCATCAGCCACCACCCCTCCCCTAACCCTAGCCCCCTATTAATTCTAGATTTGAAGCTTTCGTGACTGCAAGGATTCATACTCGTAGGTTTTTTTCGGTAAAGTCACGTAGGTAAAAAATAAAACAATAAATTACAATTAATACAATTTAAATTAAAATCACGACCTTTTCGGAGGCAACACAAGCTTCCGTCTTCATGTGGAACCGTCAGTCGTGCTGTGACGGTTCCACCTGAAGACGGAAGCTTGTGTTGCCTCCGAAAACGTCGTGATTTTTATTTTACTTTTTTTTTCCTACGTGACTTTACCGAAAAAACCTAAGAGTATCTAACCCCCTAACTAACTCTAAATCCCCGACCCATAAACTCTATCGATGACCCGATCCCTTCAACACTAACCTCGACTCATAAACACCCCCAACCACATGTACCCTCGCTCCTAAACGCCAACCCTTGACCTGAAATCCCTAAACTCTCACCTCGAACCCGAATGCCCTAAAAACGCAAATCCCAAAACCCTACACCACAAACCCTCTAAACCCTAAACCTCCCTGCCTCTAACCATAAACCCTCTGAACGCTAAACCCCAACCCTAAACATCTAAACGTTAAGCCCCCACCAACTCCTAACCCCTAAATGCTCACCCGAAAACCTAAAGCCGGAACTCCGATCAGCCACCCACCCAACTAGAAATCCCCGAACCAGATGGACCCCAACTCCGACGAATTTGTTTTGATTCCGTCGATTGAACCCCCAAGGAAGATTTCTCCCTGTCGGTAGATGCCATGTCTGGTCTCTGTAACACGGTGGCTAAGAGATGTTAACTCCCTCGCCCGGTATACAGGAGGTCGTGGGTTTTATCCCGACCCTGACGCCTGCTGCTGTATATTTGGAGTTTGCGTGTCTATCTCTCTCTCTCTCCCCGTGGTCGCGTGGATTTTTCTCCGGGTCCTTCGGTTTTTTTCCCCCACCGCATTTAGAATCAACATCACCACGCGTTTTAGAGTGTTTGTGACTGCAATCAATGTCCACGTGATGATATCAGCCACCACTTCGTTGATTTATCATTTGTGTTTGCCAGGTCGCATCTGAAAGACAGCCACATATAACTTCAGTGAGGGGCCTTACCCGGTAAATTAAAACAAATATATTGTTAAAAGTTTTTTTCCCATGTCATTATAGTTCAGTAAAATTCCTTGCTGGAGAGAGTGGCCGCTGCGAATCTCCCCACGAATAATTTCCTGCTGCTCACTCCCGAGTCCCCCTGCTGCTACTACTGCTGCTGCTACTGCTGCTGCTGCTACTGCTGCTGCTGTTGTTGCTATTGCTGCTGCTGCTACTGCTGCTACTGCTGCTACTGCTGCTGCTGCTACTGCTGCTGCTGCTACTGCTGCTGCTACTGTTGCTGCTGCTACTGCTGCTGCTGTTGCTGCTGCTACTGCTGCTGCTACTGCTGCTGCTGCTACTGCTGTTGCTGCTGTTGCTGCTGTTGTTACTGCTGTTACTGCTGCTGCTGCTATTGTTTTACCAATCGATCGTCTCCCGACCCCAGCCGGATCTACGTTTAAAAATCCAACTCGAGTCAGACCGGCGACTGCTCTCCGCTCGGGATCTTGACCGACGGTGAATTCTCTCGATTGGATTTTCATCGCAACAATCCAATCGCCCCCCCCCCCCCCCATTTCACAGTGCTTGTACAGTCTTCTGTATGATATTATTATGATGACGACGATTAAATACGATATTTTAACCTGTAGCCTTTATTTTGGGGAAATATACAAAGAAAAATAAATATTATAAACCTCGACGCTGAATCTTGCTTTCGGCTGCATCGTTTCGTGCCTCCGTCTGAAATGTCGCCTTCGGATTCGCTCCACGTGTGCGCGTACATACACGTGCAGCGTACGTGCACCGCGCATGTACGTACACGTGCAGCGTACGTGCAGTGTACTTACATGTGCAGCGTGCGTACGCGTGATGTGTGCGTACACACGCAGCGTACATTGCGCGTGTACGCACACGTGCGTCATACACACAAGTGCAGAGTGCGTACACGTGCTGTGCAATGCCTCCTCAACCCGTTTCCGCTGGACACAACCAAGCCGCGCCCGTGCCGTGCCCAGCCGCCCAGCCCCGGCAAAGCTCAGGAAGCACCAGGCTCTGGTTTCGTTCCACTGCCGAAGCCGAGCCGAGCCGCTAACGTCGCACGCAACGAACGGTCCTTTCGTCGGTCAGTCACCGATTTTTTTTTCAGAAGCGACCTGGCCGCCACAAATGATAGCTAAACGAAGTGGCTTATCATCATAATGTGGACATTTATAGCAGCCAAATACTCTAAACGCGTTTTGTTGATTCTAAATGTGGAGGGAAAATACAGACGACCTGGAGAAAAATCCACGCGACCATCACAGGGAGCGAGACACGCAAATTCCAAATATACAGCAGGCGTCAGGGTCGGGATCGAACCCACGACCTCCTGTATACCAGGCGATGTAGTTAATATACAGCAGGCGTCAGGGTCGGGATCGAACCCACGACCTCCTGTATACCAGGCGAGGTAGTTAACATCTCGCCACCATCGGGAACCGATATGACCTACAATGAAAATGATTAACTCCCCACCCTTGGCCCTGCTTGGCCCCCAGCCAGATTTTCGGATGTCTTGTAAGGCCAACTTGTCACGACGGTTCATATAGCCAGTGGAAAAGCACGCGTACCATGCGGGCTCGCTTCGTATGCGCCAACGGTAGAGGGTTTATCGGGAGGCGTTGATACTCACCTGCGGATTAAAGCGCCCATCTCCCCATGCGCTATCACGGGCGGGCGAACGCTGTAGATGTAGTAGAGTTACCCACTCGATATTCACAAACTGGGAGAGCTAATCGTTGACAAGGTTTTCCCGCGCGACCTAACGGTCAGGGTCAGATAGGGTGAATTGGGATCTAAAAGCAGATTGGGAACGACCAATCACAGGGTTCCACAAGGTGGCCGGGGATTGGACAACCCGGCCACGAACGAGTATAAAGCCAGAACGCTCAGAGCTCTCGGGGAGTTGGACGACACGAAGACCCAAGACGGCGGAAGAAGCATAGGACCCTGGACCAAGCCCTCCAGCCCTTGTCAGGGCTAACTAGGGCTCAGAGTAACCAGTGGTCAGGGAGACATCTCCCTAGGTCCAGTCAGAGGACACTGAAGGAGCAGGCTATGAGTAGCCTGTAGGCTTGTACGTTCGGAGTGTAACGGGTGAGGGGACCGTATACCCCTCAGTGCATAGGGACTGTATTCACAAATAAAAGTGTGTGCTACTAAAAGACGTCGAAGAGTCCGTCTGTACAACACTACATATATTTGGTTTGTAAATAAAATGCAGCGGGGGAAAAAAATCAAATGCATGCGATTTTTTTTTTTGCGCGAGAAATTTGTCAGCCCGGCCGTGGACCATGGCGTGAGAATTCGCATTGAGCGACGAGTTTGTGAGAGCGTTGTGTGCCGGGAGCGCTGCATCGGAGAACCACACCGCGTCCACCCACACGGTTTACCCCATATTCCTGTACAGGGAAATTGAGTTTTCAGGTCCGTACAGGGTACAGCTGTTTTAATACGGGCAAAAGAAAAGTTTTTGTTTGTGTATCTCCCCTTGTGATGGGACTTTGTAGGATGAACGTTGAGATGCATAAGGGGCACGCGGTGACCAATAAGGTCTGAATTGGTCTGTAATAAGGTAAGGGGTTGAGAGGTATGTTGAAGTCTCCCATAAACTAAAATA